CGCCCGCCCCGCCGCCGCCCCGGCCGCAGGCCCCGCCTCGCCCGGGATGGGGTAAACAGGCCCGGCCTGGAGGGCGCGCCGGCCACTGGAGGGCTCCGCCGGCGAAGGCTGCTCCTGGGCTCCTGGGCTCCTGGCGGCGGCCCCGAAGTTCACGCGCGTCCTGTCTTTGTCTCTGCAGCCGTGGGCTTGCGCTGTGTGTCTGTCTGGGGAGGGGGTCGCCGCGGGGAGTCGGTCCTGGGCGCGTCTCTGCGTGGGCGCTTCTTGGGCTTCGCGGGTGTGGGCCCGGCGCTGGGAGCCTGCCGGCCGCGCCGCTGGTGTCTGCCCTGGGGTCGGGGTCGCGGCACTGGGCTGCCTGTCCCCATGCCTCAGGTGGTGTTGGGCGCGAACCTTGCTTTGCTGCCCTGAGGGTCTGAATTGTCCCAGGCCTGGGGGCTTGATCGGGCTTCAGTGGAGGCAGGAGGTTCTGCCCTCCAGGTGCCTCTTCTGCACTGGGGGCAGACCTTGAGGGGCCCAGGGTCCTGGGAGACCCACCCTGCTTCCCAGAGGGGCACTGAGGCTCCAGGCCAGAAGGTCTTCAGGAACCCAGGGTCCCAAACGCACCCCCACCCCAGGGCTGAACTGGGAGACTGTGCTTATTCACTTCTGGCAGGGCCATAGGAGAGGGCTTATTCTGAGCCCATTTTACAGATGAGAAAACAGGTACCAAGAAGTGACTAGTAGGTGGCACAGTGGGATGCCAACCTGGGCCTTGTGGTTCTGTGTGTGTGGTCTCCTCCTGGCCACGGCACCCCAGACAGGAGACTGGAGTGTGGCTGACGGAGGAAAATGGAGGCTGCCTGCAGAGAACCTGGCTCCGGGCACTCAGGGTGGGGCCTCTGGAGGAAAGGGAGAGCAGCCTTTGTGCTGAGCGCTGGGGGTGGACAGGTGCCCAAGTGCCCTCCCAGGTGCCCTCCCAGGTGCTCATTAGCATTATGGACTCTCCCAGATGCCGGGTGTGGTGCCAGCCACTCTCCAGCTGCCACTGTTCTGGGATCGCTTCCTGCACCCCAAGGCTGGAGTGGGCACTCTCCGCAGACTAGCCAGGCAGCACCCCGTCTTTCTAGGCTGGGGGCGGGGGAGTGTAGGGAGGCCTCTGGAACCCAGAGCCTGGAACCAACTTGGTGCTTTAGGTCCCAACCCCTGGCCTGCGCACTCTGGGTTCTAAGCATCTTGACCGGGGACTGCCTGACTCCCCAAGCACCCCAGCTCGTGGATGGGGTCCAGACTGATCTGCTGGCCCAGGCTGAACGGCGAAGTAGCCCACTAGCCCCGCACTCTGATGCTGCCGTCTGTTGACCCAGGTAGTACAGGATGGGGGTCCCCTGGATGGGAGTCAGCCTGCCTGCTGCCTGCTTCGAGGGTTGCAGGAGCTTCCTGCCTACATCTGGGAGGCTGGGAGTGTCAGGTTACCAAGGAAACCAAGGCAGGCCAGCCAAGGTCTGGAGAAGGACAGAGCCAGCACTCCTGATCCCCCACATACCTTGGGCCCCAGGGGCCCTCCTGCAGTGCGGGCCGAGGGCTATGCTGAGAGGAATAGTCCTGGGCCTCCAGAGACACCCAGCCCAGCCTCCCCAACCAGGACTGACAGTCCTGCTGGGTGTCTTCCTAGGTTCTCTGGCTCTTCTGCCCTGTAACTGGGGCCAGTGTTCCAGCCTCAGGGCATTCCCTAGCTTGGAGGCAACTCTCCTTCCGTATCCCAGAAGGGAAACTGAGGCATAGAGGGCTACTGTTTTCCATCCCCCAGCATCGGGATGAGAACTATTGGCCATCTATACAGGACACCACAGTTTGGGCCCAAAGTCAGGGACCGGGCCAGGGCCAAAGCCCCAGGGACTCCCCAGTCCCCAGCAGCATGACTGCGGGAGTGACCCTGGCCTGGCTTTTGTATCTCAACCAAGTGAGACGTGCCGACCCCATCCTTGGTCTCCCCAAACCAGCAGCTTCTCTGTGCTCCAGAGACAAGCCAGAGGTCAGACACAGGGAGGAGTGCCTGTCTTCCCTTGTTCTGTGCCACCTTCCAGCTCTGCTGTAGGGTGTGGGATGACAGGATGGGACTTGCAGGGTGGCTCCGAGGTGGTGGGAAAGCTGGGTGGACAGCGTCTTCAGCTCCCCCAGAGGCAGAGAGAGACTCGGGCCCCGCCTTCTAGGGCTCCCAGCCTGGATGGAGGGCACATTGAGACTGGAAGCAGGACCTACAGGGCTGCCTGGCCCTGGATAGGACCGCTTCCGCACAGGGCTGGCTCAGGCCCAGAGAGTGGACTCTCGGGAGTGGGTGGGGCAGGGGAGTTCCGATAAGTGTGGGGACTGCTTGTCTTCCTGGTCCTGGTCTCTGGCTGTTGGGAGGAAGGGCCGGCCCAGAACAATGGCCGGAGCTGGGCCAGACTGGGTCAGCTCTGGGGGGAGGGGCTGCCAGGCAGGACAGCCTCTGCCAGGGCTGGGCCAAGCAGGGCGGTGATCTGGCTCTGCCTTTTGCTTCCTTCCTAGATGCAGCTGCCTGTCCTGGGAGCCTGGACTGCGCCCTGAAGAGGCGGGTGCGGTGCCCCCCCGGCGCGCATGTCTGTGGGCCCTGCCTTCAGCCCTTCCAGGAAGACCCGCAGGGACACTGTGTGCCCAGGACTCACCGGCTTGTGGGTATGGGAGAGAAGGATGTGCTTCCCCCTCCCCTGCCCTGATTCGGTTGTCACTCAGACCCTGGGTCTCCTGAATTTTGTTGGTGTGTGGAGCACTTTATGTCTCTGAGGGGCCCAGTGATCTTTTCAGATAGCACAAGCCCAGAGCCTGGCAGCGGGCTGAGGCGTTGGGCAGTTAGCCCCTGTCAGGGCAAGGGGTGTCTGGCAGGAAATGCTGGGGTGATCACAGGAAAGGAAGAATCAGAGTTCCCCATCCCCCCTGCCCCGGGCTACCCTGGCCCCCTGCCCCATGTGCACTTCTTCTCCACGGCTTCCTCACACTGTGCAATCTGTGGGCCTCCCCTGCCAGCCTGAGCCCAGAAGGTCTGCACGGCCAGCTGCTCAGTGAGTTCAGGTGGGATGGGGCATTACAGAAAGAAGTCAGCTGGGGCAGGAGGACCTTCCCAGAGGAGGAACCGTTCCTGGCAGTGAGGTGGGCTGGGGAAGGAGACCGTACGGCCCTGCTTCAGAAGGTGGCAGGAGCTCTGCTCTTTCCCTGCTGTGTAGAGTGTGTCCTTGGAGCCTCTGTCTGGACTGTGGGGGCTGTGGCTGGGACCGAGTGGGGGGGGGCAGCCACCAGCCCCATCCCGATATCTGCCCTCAGTTCCTACCCATTAACTGGTGGGGGTGGGGACAGAATGGGGCCTCTTCCCTCTTCTTAAGGAGTCGATGCCTGTCTTGGTAGAGAAGGGGTGGGGTGACGCGTGGGTAACAGCAGGGTGAGGGCACCCCTTCTCTCCTTCTGGCCTCGGTGCATTCCCCGGCACCTCCGCCCCCTTGCCCCGGCCCCCACTTGCCTGGGAAAGCTGCTGTGCACATGGGCTGCCTTCAGCGGTCACCAAGGCAACTCGGGATGGCCGGGATTGCAGGCTGGTACCTAGTCCTCTGGCCACCACCCGTGCCTGGGAGGAACCTGGAGGGAGGAGGAGGTCTGGGCCAGGGGTCTGGCTCCTGGATGGACCCCAGCTCCTCTGGAGGGCTGCCCACAGCTGGGGTGGCTGGGGTGGGGCTGGGGGCCTCTCCACCTGCCTGAAGGGCCCTCACCGTCTCCAGGGGAGAGCCTGCCCAGGCCCAGACTGGAAGATGAGATTGACTTCCTGGCACACGAGCTGGCCCAGCAGGAGCCACGGCACTCCATGCCCACCGTGCAGCCCCAGCCTGAAGCTGGACAGCGGCCGCTGGAGCCGGGTGAGATCCAGCTCATTCCCACCCCTACCCACCCCCCCACCCGGCGGGGGCCTGACCCCTGGCCAGTCCTAGTGTTCTAACCTGCCTTCTCTCTGCAGCGGCCACCCTGGGGCTCTCAGAGCGCCGCCAGGGCCCTGACCTGGGCCCCCCCTCCACTCGAGGAGCCCCCGCACCCACGCCCCACACCTCCTTGGGCTCCCCTGCGTCCTCTGTGCCCGTGCACGTGGCCCCCTTGGAGCCCCAGGGTGGGCGCGGTGACGGACTCGGCCTCGGTAGGTCTGGAGGTCCGTAGGTCTCTGGGTGGGCAGGGGGCAGGGCCCTGCCCGGAAGGCCGCCCTCACCGCGCCCCCTCCCCACAGTGCTCGTGGTGGCGTGCTCGGTAGCCGGCGCGGCCGCCCTGGCCCTGGCCGCCCTGTGCTGGTGCAGGTGAGCGCGGGGCGCGCCCGGCCGTGGGCGGCGGCGGGTGGCGGCGGGCGGCCGCTCCGCGGGTCTCAGGCTCCGCTCCCCGCAGGCTGCAGCGAGACGTCCGCCTGACCCAGAAGGCCGACTACGCGGCCCCGCAGGCGCCCGGCTCCCCTGCAGCGCCCGGGATCTCGGTGCGTGGCCCCGCCCCGGCCCCGCCCCTCCGGCCCCCGGCTCTGCGGCCTGACCCCTGCCGCCCTCTCCCCGCGCAGCCCGGCGACCAGAGGCTCGCGCAGAGCGCCGAGATGTACCACTACCAGCACCAGAGGCAGCAGATGCGGTGCCTGGAGCGGTAAGAGGCCCCCACCCCGTCCCCCCGCCACCTGGGCCCCCACCTGCGCTGCCCCTGCTCCGGCCGAGGGGCAGTGAGCCCCCCGGGGAAGTCTGGGCCCCTGGCGCCCGGAGGGTGTGGGAGGCCCTAGCGATCCCGCCCCCTACCCAGGCATAAAGAGCCGCCCCAGGAGCTGGAGTCCTTGTCCTCAGACGAGGAGAACGAAGACGGTGACTTCACGGTTTATGAGTGCCCGGGCCTGGCCCCGGTGAGTCCCCTGGCAGGAGCCCCCGGGGCGGGGTCGGGCCGCGGCGGGGCAGGGGCGGCGGTGGGGACCAGCGGGGTGGGGGCTCCCCCGTGCGCCCCATGCCCCGCCTGCCTGACCCCGGCCTCCACAGACCGGAGAGATGGAGGTCCGGAACCCGCTGTTCGACCACTCCTCCCTGTCTGCGCCCCTGCCGCAGTGACCTGAAGGCTGCCTCTCCCTTCTCCCGGACTGCAGGGCCCAGGGGTGGGGAGGGGCAGGGCGCACCGGTTCCCGTTAAAGAGACCTTGTTCTCGCAGTGGGTGTGCTTGTGGCTGGGCCAGGGCACCAGGGGAGTGGGGGCGGGAACCCCTTACCCAGGAGACTCAGCCCCCTTCTGCCGGGACCTTCTCTTTCTTCTTGCACCTGTCCTGTTGAGTCCGAACCCCCAAATGAGGGGACAGGGAGAACCATGAGACCAGGCATGGATGAGGAATCCTGGCAACAATTAAAATACATTTCAAACCCGTCATCTCGGTGTGCTGGAGACTGACCTCCATCCCACCCTTTAGGGTCACGGTGGACGGACGCTGGGGTGGAGGCCTGGGGCTTCCTCCTGCCCTCCCAGAGATGGCGGGTGCATCTCCGCACTCCTGCTTCCGCTTGGAAAGGCTGTCTCACCCCCTGCTGGGGAAGAGAGGCTTTGTTTTTCTACCAACACAAGATCCCTCCTACCCTCTTTCTCCTGTAGGCCTCACCCCTACTGAAACTTCTGTCTCAAGTAGGGGAGGAGCGCGGTATGGGTGGGGGGCGGGTCTAGAGTTGGTACCACTCCCTGAAAGGTCCCATTCCACATATGCTGAAAAGAGGAGGGGTGTGAGGGCGGTGGGCACCCAACCTCCATTTCCACTACTGGCCGTCTGGGCCGGAAGGCGGGGCAGAACAGGACGCAGCCCTGAGCATGGGCTTGTGATGGGAGCCACGAGGCCCGGGGGCCCCTGCAGCCCATGTGGGGCAGGGGCTTTCGAGGGGCACAGGCTCCTCACAGGGCGATAGGGCAGGGCGGGCTGGGCCTGAAGAGAAGGGCAACAGGGACCCTGAATGTCAGGAGGGGGTCGTGGCCCACCCCAGCCACCCACCCAGGAGCAAGGAGGTCTGTGGAAGGGCAGAGTGACCTTCAGAGCAGGGGCTGCCCTGTGCGACCAGTGGTACAGAGGCTGAGTGGGGAGAGGAGTTTCTGGGGCCCAGGGAGCAGCTGGGTCTCCTGCAGACAAGTGCGGGGATGGGACCTGTCTGTCCCCTGTTGGTGGTGGGGGGATTGGATGTAGAAGCCCTTGGTGGTGTCTTGTGGGGGGCGTCCTGAGAGGGAAAACAAGGTCCATTTGGGGCAGATAGTCCCTGAGGAGAGACGGGTAGGCTGGGCTGGGGGAAATGTGTTTGCCCCTGCTTGGAGCAAATGGCTTGTCCTGAGAGTACCAGGGCCCATCCAGACTGGGAAGTCCCTCCCCTCCACCCCGACTCCTGGGCTGTGGCCTTGGGCTGGCCCTCAGCTGGGAGCCTGCTTTCCCTTTTGTGCCGGAGATGACAGGAGTCTGTGTGGGGCGAGGACAGGCTGGCAAGGATCACCTGTCCACGGTCACTTAGTCTGTGCCACTAGGGAAGGTAGCCACAGAGAAAATGGGGCATGGGACAGTCCCGGCTTCACTCCAGAAGGCCCAGGTCGTCCGGCTTGTCAACTGTCGGCCACAGGTCCAGGCCAGGAGATTCCCCTTGATATCTGGGGTCGGGCCTGGTGTCTTTCACACTTCCCATGGGCCTGACCTGGGTAGAGAGCGGGCACCCCGCCTTCTCTAGCTTCTCAGAGGTTCCCAACCTGTCTCAGGGCCCCAGGCAGGAGACCCCCCCCTTTTGGAGCAGCTGCAGTGAGACAGGACGGGAATGTTTGGGCCCAGGAAGGGAGGGCAGGGGCTGGTCCCCTCCAGGCCGTGGGGTCTCCCTCAGCCAGCTTACCTGGCACAGGGTGCTACGCCACTCAGCAGCCCACTCCCCCCATGCTTCCTCTGGCTTCCGTCAACCTCAGGCTAGCTCAGACAGAGCCAGGCTCTGCTTTTGTCTAAACTTCCACAACCACACTTTCTCCCATAGGCCCCGGAGAGCAGTGGGCTGCCCTGAGGTGGGGCCTAGGGTCCAGGAAAGCCCTATCTCCACAGGGACCCTGGAGACCCCAATCCTGGGCAAGGGGCCCGTCACCTTTCTCCACACCACCTATAGCCTCAGTGCCCCCTGCTGCCACTCCTGCGGCCGTCCCAAGGCCATACCAAGAGCAACCTTCTTGGTGCGAAAGGCTGATCTCGTCTCTGCCCTCAGAGCTCACCGTGCTTCCGCCCCTTGGCCAACCTTAGCTGGCTTGGCACCCTGTCTGAGCATGGAGGACAAAGGGTGACATTCCCACAGCCAGCACAGACCCTGAGATGACACTCCTCTGCTTGGAGATGCCCCCACACCTGCGAGACCCTAGGGGTCAGAGCACACTGGGCATAGAATGTGGGGTGCCGGGGCCCCTGAGCCATGCCCCACGAGGCGGGAACCTCTCTGTCTGGAGACTCTAGGACGTGACGCGCTTCTTCTGCAGGTCAGACTCACTGTCCCATCCGCTGGGGTAGCTGGCCGGGCTGGTCCTGTGTTCCCAGTCCCCCGGCGACACCCCCACGCCAGGTGCGCCGCCCACCAGGGCACGTGTGGTGCAGAAAGCCGAGCCAAGGTCGGGTTCAGGGCACAGAGGTCCTGCAGCGGCTCCTGCAGAAGGAGAGGGATGTGGCCCGCGGCCCAGGCCGGAAGGGACGGAAGAAGGAGAGCAGGTGCGGGGGCCTGCACCCATGTGCCCAGCGGCTCCAGACAGGAGAGCCGCCTCTCCCAGCGCCCGCTGCAGCTGGCTCCCACACAGCCCTCGTGCTACACCCCTGGCCGGGGAGCCCCTCTGTGCACCCACCTTCCGAAGGCGTTCCCCGAACCCTCGGTTCATCTTGTCCTCCACCGTAAAGTGTGTGCTCCCTCTGCTGGGGACAGATGGCTCAGAGCGGGGCCGCCGGGGGTAGAGCTCAGGGGTAGAGCATTTGACCGCAGAGCTTGACCGCCAGGGGGCCGACTGGGCACACGGATGGCCTCCGCCTTGCTCAAGCTCAGCCTTGGGGCGGGTGGGTGCTCTCTCCCTGGGGCACCCCCAGGCTGGGGCTAAAGCCAGGTCTGCCCCCCATTGCCCTAGGTGCTGTTGCCTGCAAGGGGGAGGCGGTCACAGGCCAGTGGCCTGGCCTCCTCCAGTTTGCGGTTTCTTCAGCGGCTGCCCCCCAGGAGGCCGGCCCCGCGGTGGGACCAGGGCTGGGGCTGCAGGAGGGACTGTGCGCCCCTGACTCCCAGAAGCTCACGGGCTGTGGTGCTGGAGTGAGGTGCCCACCTGGGTCCCAGTGAGTCACAGGGCCTGGGGAAAGGTGGGAGGATGAGGCCCCCACTTTCCCTTTGACTCGTGCGGTCTCTCCTTCGTCACTTTGCTCAAGAGCTCTCTCACTCTGACCTGTTTCTGGACCAAATCTCGGGGCCCCATTTCCCAGCCAGCACGTTCCCACGGCAGGGGCCCCGTGGTTGCCAACCCGAGCTGGCAGGGGTGTGGCGGGGCGGGGGGCAGCAGACGCCGGGCAGGGTGGGAGGCTTGCTTGGCTTCCCACCCAGGAAGGAGCAGTCTGTGGGTACGGGTGAGGCCTGTGGCAGGGGCCCCGGCCAGCCTGGCCATGCAAACAGGAAGGGCAGGGGCGCTGGCAGCCGGAGGCGGGGTTGGCTCTCCTCGCACACCTCACCAACTGCAGGGTGCCCGCCCCACGGAAAGATGGGCTGGAGTAAGGCCGGAAGCCAGGGCGTGGCTCCTCTGCGGTCCCCCTGCCAGGGCAGAGAGGCCGGGGTGCGGCCGAAGGCCCAGGGCCCCCGTGGTCATCTCCCTAGTCGTCAAGCGGCTGAAAGGACAAGGACCGGCCACAGCTGTCAGCTCTCCTCGAGCCGCGGTGCCCACCCCAGGCAGTCAGGCCTGGCAGCCGCCTGTGCACCACAGACCACCAGACGGTTTCCGCCAGACCCTACCGCCTCCCCTCCCTCCCGGGGGATTGCGCAAAGCCCCACAGCTCAGAGGTTTTGCCGGGTCTGTGGAGCCTCAGAGATGCCCAAGGCCCCCTCTCCTGCGCTCGCCCATCTCCTCCGTGGGTGCAACGCCAGCTCCCCACCCCCACCCCGATACCAGTCTGGTCCTCACCGACAGGCAGGAGCTGGAGGAGGCCAGCAACCCCAGGCACCCAAGAGGGAAGCAGGAGGGGGACCGCGGGGTGGCAGAAAGCCCCCAAGATGGCGAGGGGCAGCTGACCCAGGCCGTGGTTCCTGTTCGCGCCTCCTTCCATGACCCCCATCCCATGGACCTCAAGAACGTGAGCTGCCTGAGGCCTCCGGATGCAGAACCTGAGAGCCAGTCCTTGTCCTGCCACGTCCAGGACCAAGAGGGGTCCAGCAGCAGTGGGGCGAGGAAGCCGGTGGGGTACCAGCTTGGCTGAGTGAGGAGCAGGTCAGAGCTCAAGGGAAGTCAGATCATGCTGACTTGCTCTCTCTCCAGCTCAGAGGAACTGGAGCAGAAGGGGAAGGAACTTGATCTCCAGGCCTGGGCCCCCAGGGCTGGTCCGAGGGTAGGGGTGGGGAAAGGAGAAAGCCTCTGGACTCCTGCCCTCTTTTTCCTGGACCAGGAGCCAGCCCCTACCTGCCAGCGTCAGGGACACAGCGACTCCTTCCCTTTCCAGTCTGGAAAGCCCCCTCTCTGTCCCCACCCCATCCTGGGCTTGGGGGCCTGGAGGAGGAGGCCTGGAGTCCCCAAGGGCAGGCCCTGTCCGCATCCCCCCTCGGCAGTGTCAGCAGCTCGTTCCAGGCGGCTGGGACCATGGGACTTCTGTGGACACGTGTCCTCGGGTGAGGAAAGAAAGCACAGTGGTCAGTGGTCCTGCAGGCTCCCCCCCGCCGGGGGCCAAGCCCAGCCTGGTGTCTGCCCCGCGTGGGCCTGTGCTGTGGCCTTATGGGGTCTGACACTCCTGGGACCGGGGGACAGAGACCCGCCCCCCTGGAATCTGGGCTCTAGGATGAAGTGTCCTGGAGGTGAGGTGGGGTGAGGTGGGGGTGGGGTAGCCCCCTTGGAACCCAGGGCAGAAACCTCAGCCTCTTGGCAGAGAGCCAAGCACAGCACATCTGCAGCCCGAGGGTCTGGGAGGGGCTCAAGCTGGCGCTGAGCGGGAAGTGGGTGATGCCAGCCCCCGGGGGGGGGGTGGGGAGGGGGGCCGGCACTGCCGAGGGTCAGGATGGTGGGCTTGGCGGGGTCCTTGTGTCAGGGGCCACCTCCACCTGCGATGGCATCACCCCATCGTGCCTGCCCAGCGGGTCATCCCCAGGCCTCCCAGAGCCCGGCAGGGGTGGGAGGCCTGATCTTGGGCCCTGAGAATGCCCCTCCTCCCCCCAGCAGTCAGAGGATCAGAGTGGGAGGGGGGTGAGGAGGGGGGTTGATGCCAAGGTCCCCTGGGGCGGGGGCAGGGGCGGGGCGGGGGCAGGAAGATAGTCTGCTGTCTCTGTCCCGGCAGATGAAAGGGCCTCCCTCCATTCGGGCTGCACAGGGGTGCGGCTGTGATTGTAGGGCGTCTCTGCCCAGTGGCTGCTGTGATTTGAGATCCCTGGGTGTCCTGGGTGGCTGACTCTGGGCGCTGCGGATGGGATGGCCGGTGAGTGTCTGGTCTTCGGGGAGCTGTGGGCTGGGGGGACGGGGTCCACAGGCAACCCTGGGAAGACAGTGTCTCTTCCTGTGTCCCGTGTAGGGTGCAGCCTCTCCCAGAGGCTTCGGGCCTTGGGGGCCTTGGCTGGAGCCGCCCTCCTCTTCACCCTGTGGCTCCTGTGGCAACTTGGGCCGGCCCCCGCGAGGGTCCCCGCGCCCCCGCGAACGCTCCTCATCCTCGTCTGGCACTGGCCCTTCGCCGACCAGCCCCCCGAGCTGCCCAGCAACACCTGCACCCGCTACGGCGTGGCCCACTGCCACCTGAGCACCAACCACAGCCTGCTGGCCAGCGCGGACGCCGTGGTCTTCCACCACCGCGAGCTGCAGACCCGGCGGGCCCACCTGCCCCTGGCCAGCCGGCCGAGGGGGCAGCCCTGGGTGTGGGCCTCCATGGAGTCGCCCAGCCACACCCACGGCCTCGGTCGCCTCGGCGGGATCTTTAACTGGGTGCTAAGCTACCGGCGAGACGCCGATATCTTCGTGCCCTATGGCCGGCTGGAGCCCCACGAGGGCCCCGCGCCGCCCCTGCCGGCCAAGAAGGGGGTGGCGGCCTGGGTGGTCAGCAACTTCCAGGCGCGGCAGCAGCGCGTGCAGCTGTACCGGCGGCTGGCGCCCCACCTGCGCGTGGACGTGTTCGGCCGCGCCAACGGGAAGCCGCTGTGCGCCAGCTGCCTGCTGCCCGCCGTGGCCCGGTACCTCTTCTATCTGTCTTTCGAGAACTCACAGCACCGAGACTACATCACCGAGAAGTTCTGGCGCAACGCACTGGCAGCCGGGACGGTTCCCGTGGTGCTGGGGCCCCCGAGGGCCAACTACGAAGCCTTTGCACCGGCTGACGCCTTCGTGCACGTGGACGACTTCGGCTCGGCCCAGGAGCTGGCCTCCTTCCTGGCTGGCATGAACGCCAGCGGCTACCGGCGCTACCTGGCCTGGCGGGACCGGCTCCGAGTGCGGCTGTTTGAGGACTGGAGCGAGCGCTTCTGCGCCGTCTGCGCCCAATACCCCCACTTGCCTCGAGGCCAGGTGTACTGGGACCTCAAGGCCTGGTTCCAGGCCTGAGCTCTGGCCCCACGAGGAGGAGGCTGAGGAGGGAGGCTGGGCGCCGGTGGTGGAGGTGGAAGGGCTGGGTGTTGAAATCAAACCACTGGGCATCCGGCCCCCACAGGCCATCAGGATCGTGCAGAGGCTGGGTTAGAAACTGGAAAGCAGAGGTCAGGTGGGAGTGGGCTGGTCCGGGCAGACTGCCTAGAGAAGGAGGCTGGCGGGCACTGGAGCAGGCACTGGGGGGTGAAGGTGAGAGTGGGAGAGAGTTAGTGGAGGTGCATGGGGCGAGTTGATCTAAGATACAGGCTCCCAAGGACCTCCGAGGACCTCCCTCCCCACCTTGATAAAACCCCAATGGGATCGGCTGTCCCAGACACCAGCTGGGAGAGGCCAGGGGTTGGGCCCTCCTGCAGTCTGGAGGGGAAAACTCTGAGCCCCCAAACCTCCTCTGTCACCGAGGTCCCTTGGCTTGGGCCATGCAGGTACATCACCCACACCCTGCACTGTGCTGGAGCCGGGCCTGGGGACGCCAGGACAAGCCAGACTGTCTGCATCTCTGGGAGGGACAGCGATCAGTAAAGAAAGGGAGGACAAGAATGGCGCGTGCTGAGTCTTGTCATGTGTACCCTCCCCCGCAGCTTCACCACCCCACCCCACCCCCGCCACACAGGCCTCCCTGTCCTGATAGGGTCCCTCCCCCACACCACGCTGCCTGTGCCTGCCAGCTTCCTTCACCCCTGCTAACTGACTGGCACGGCACCAGGGAGCTTTCCCTGAACCCCCAAAGGCCAAGGTGGGTGGAGAGTAGGGGGTGCTGAGGTCTGAAACCTGGACGGGGGCGGGGGGGCAAAGGAGCCTGGTCCTGAAGGCCCTGGGATTTCATTTTCCAGCTGCAGGGGTGTCTGGGGAGTGGCAGGACCTGGCTCACTCTGCTAGGTGGTGGGCAGCACACACGGGCAGCACGGGGCACTGAGTACTGTGCGGCAGCCAGGGGAACCCCTGTGGCAGGCTGCCTGTGGGGGCGAGGAAGAGAAGCTGGAACTGCAGATAGGGGCCCCAACAGGCTGCTCCCCTGGGGCAGAGGTCAGGATTTGTCCCTGCCCCAGATGGGGGTGGGCGGCAGGTGCAGGCAGGAAGCTGCCCTCCCCGCTGACAGTGGCTTGCGGGAAGGGCCTGCCAGTCACTTCCTGGCCTGACGTAGCCCCACATGCTGACCAGGGATAAGGATGGGGGATTGGGTCCCCTCTGCCCTACCCCATTGTAGAGAAGGAGCTGGGGAGGGGCATGTAGCTGTGGTTCCCCCAAAGCCTGCCATCAGCTTAGGGGAGCCCTCTATGTGCATCCCGGATGTGCACCCTGGACCCTGGACATCCCGTGGCCTGGCCCTCCCGTTGGCAAGTGGGGAAACTGAGATTGGGGAGGGAGGCGGCGTCAGGGCTCGGGCAGGGTTCCCTGCCCTCTGCTGCCCTCTGCTGGCCACCCTGCGCCACTGCAGCCCCTGCGCCGTCCGCTCCTCTCCGAGTCCCACCTGCGGCCGCGGGGCTGGCTCTCGGGTTTGGCCAAGAAAGGAGCCCCTCGCCGGGGGCGCGGCCTCAGTCTCCTCAAGCATCCTGCGCGCCCCGTCTGCAGGGAACCGGTCCCCGGACCAGAGTCCGGCCAGGCCCATCCCGCCACTTGCTCGCCGAGGGGTTCATTCCCAAGGGACCCAGGTGTTCCCGCAGCGACGGTACAGCCCCCTGCACCCCCTCACAAGCGCCCACCCCTGCCTTAACCGGCCTGGGTCAGGAAGCCGCTGGCGGGGCCGGAGCGCTGCTGCTTGAAGGCTGGACGGCAGACACTGGCCGGCGCGCACAGGTGGGATCTCCCGCCAGCGCTGAGCTGTCCCCTCCCACCGCGGGGCGACTACCCGCTTCCAGCCTGGCGGTGACCCGGGCACCGGGACCTGGCTCTGACGTCCAGGCGACATTCCTGCCCCCAGCACCTCCGCGCGCGGTGGGGGGGCGCACTCCCGCCCCCAGCATCCCCTCAGGGCGCCCTGGGGCCAGTGGCCACCTTGGGGCGCCTCTGCAGATTCCAGCGGGGGTTCGGCGTGCCGGACAGACGCCCCCGGGAGAAGAGCGCGCCTGCGGCGGGGGTGGGGCTCGGGGGCTTAGACGCGAGCTCGGGGACCTGGCGAGATGGGGGCGGTCAACGAGGCCGGCCGCCGGCGCGCGGGGAGGAACTCCGCGACCGGCCTCGCAGGGCGGCGGCGGGCGGCGGCGGGCGGCGGGCGGCGCGCGGCTCCTTTAAGCGGGGGCGGTGCCGGCGGGGGCCGGGCGCGAGCGGCGGTCGGCGCGGCGGCCGGGGCGGCCCCATCTCGCCAGGTCCCCGAGCTCGCGTCTAAGCCCCCGAGCCCC